TAGTAGTAGAAGTAGTTGTAGTCGTAGTCGTAGTAGTAGTAGTAGTAGTAGTAGTAGTAGTAGTAGTAGTAGTAGTAGTAGTCAGTAGTAGTAGTTAGTAGTAGTAGCTAGTAGTAGTAGTAGTAGTAGTAGTAGTAGTAGTAGTTGTAGTAGTAGTAGTAGTAGTAGTAGTAGTAGTAGTAGTCTATAGTAGTAGTAGTAGTAGTAGTAGTAGTAGTCGTAGTCGTAGTCGTAGTCGTAGTAGTAGTAGTAGTAGTAGTAGTAGTTAGTAGTAGTAGTAGTAGTAGTAGTAGTAGTAGTAGTAGTAGTAGTCGTAGTAGTAGTAGTAGTAGTAGTAGTAGTCGTCGTAGTAGTAGTAGTACGCGTAGTCTCCATAGTCGTCGTAGTAGTGATGGTAGTAGTAGAAGTAGAAGTAGTAGAAGTAGTAGTAGTAGTAGTAGTAGTAGAAGTAGTAGTAGTAGTAGTAGAAGTAGTAGTAGTAGTAGTAGTAGTAGTAGTAGTAGTAGTAGTCGCAGCCGTAGTAGTAGTAGTAGTAGTAGTAGTAGTAGTAGTAGTAGTAGTAGTAGTAGTAGTCGTAGTAGTAGTAGTAGTAGTAGTAGTAGGAGAAGAAGAAGAATAATAATAAGAAGAAGAATAAGAAGAATAATAAGAATAAGAAGAATACTAATAATAAAAATAAGAATAATAAGACTAAGAATAAGAATAATAATAAGAAGAATAAGAATAATAAGAAGTAGTAGTAGCAGTAGTAGTCGTCGTCGTCGCTGTTGTCGTCGTCGTCGTAGAAGTAGTAGTAGGAATCGTAGTCGTAGTCGTAGTAGCAGTAGTAGTCGCACTCGTAGTTTTATTATGATTGGTCGGATGGTGAGGAGTTGGAGGAGGAGGAGGAGGAGGAGGAGGAGGAGGAGGAGGAGGAGGAGGAGGAGGAGGAGGAGGGGAAGAGGAGGAGAAACCTTCGATTTTTTGTATCTTGCAGAGCCTGCAGGAGTTCAGGGGGCTCTGGAGAAGCCATACGGTATTCCAAGGAATCTAGATCCAGAGGAACCCAACATGAACCGATCGATTTTTTTACGATCTGGAGGAAACCGGAGGAAATTGCAAGGATCTGAAGGAAGTGTGTGGAACCAGAGGGGGAATTGAAGGGAATGCCAGGGAATCTATTGGAATCCAGAAGAATCCAAACGAAATCGAACGGAATGAAACATCTACAAGAATTTCGGAGAGCTCAAAATTAGCCTGGCGAAGAACCCAACCATATGCAGTTGTCAGTACCGCAGCTGCGGGTTTCATCTTCAATGGAACTCCCCATAGGACTACGGAACGTGTGAGGGGTGTGCCGAGATGGGTGCCACTGGGGCATTCGGCGAAGCTCCCTATGGGGACATGAAACACGCGCGGGGCGTGCCGACATGGGTGGCGGAAACGCATGTGCGGGCCGCCACTGGGGCCTCCAGTGGAGCTCCCTATGGGTCCCCGAAACATGATGCTGCTGCGGGGGGGGGGGCGGGATGGGTGGCGGAGACGCATGTAAGCGCCGCTACTGGGGCCTTCGGTGGAGCTCCCTATGGGGCCACGAAGCGCGTGAGGGGTGTACTGGGATGTGTGGCGGGGACGCATGTGAGCGCCGCCACTGGGGCCTTCGTGGGGCCACGAAACGTGTGAGGGGTGTGCCGAATTAGGTGCGGGTGGTGACGCATGCGGGCGGTGCCACTGGGGCCTTCGGTGGAGCTCCCTATGGGGCCACGAAACCTGTTGTTGTGAGGGGCGTGCCGGGATGGGTGGCGGGGACGCATGTGAGCGCGGCCGCTGGGGCCTTCGGTGGAGCTCCCTATGGGGCCACGAAACGTGTGAGGGGTGTGCCGAATTGGGTGGGTGTGGGTGACGCATGTGAGCGCCGCCACTGGGGCCTCCGGTGGATGATGGGGCCACGAAACCTGTCAGGGATGTGCCGAAATGGGTATGCGGGACGCATGCGCATGTGAGCGCCGCCACTGGGGCCTTCGGTGGAGCTCCCTATGGGGCCACGAAACGTGTGAGGGGTGTGCCGAATTGGGTGTGCGTGACGCATGCGGGCGGCAGCACTGGGGCCTTCGGTGGAGCTTCCTATGGGGCCACGAAACGTGTGAGGGGTGTGCCGAATTGGGTGTGCGGGACGCATGCGGGCGGCAGCACTGGGGCCTTCGGTGGAGCTCCCTATGGGGCCACGAAACGTGTGAGGGGTGTGCCGAATTGGGTGTGCGGGACGCATGCGGGCGGCAGCACTGGGGCCTTCGGTGGAGCTCCCTGTGGGGCCACGAAACGTGTGAGGGGTGTGCCGAAATGGGTGTGGCAGGAGGAGGGGGGGGAGGAGGAGAGGAGGAGACGCGGGCCACCGTCTCTTCAAAACGAGGACCCAACACCACAGGATGGTTGGGAACAACCCAGAAGAACCGTGCCCCCATGGCGTTTGGGAGAAGCTGAAGGCACCCACAGGAATTGAAACGAAGTTTGGAGAATCCACGGGGGAATGGACATTTGACGGTGAAGCCCCGCTGTCAGTCAAATTTTCATCGGGGGGCGAAAATTCGAAGGCACCCACAGAAGGCCGAAGGGAACTTGGATAATCGAAAGGATGGGATGGGGGACGCAGTCGGGCTCCAATGTCAAATGCGTATTCGGGGGGCCCCTAGGAATGAACAGGAATGAGGAACCCGCAAGACGTGTTCGAATCTTGTGGAATCTGGAGGAATCTGGAAAAGTTTTGGAGAATCTGGAGAAACCCGGAGGAACCCGGGGGAGTCGGTATAATTCCTGGGGAATCTGGCAAAATTGGAGCAGCCCTGGGGAACCATGACGTTTCCAAAGGGACCCTCGGATGTTTTTGAAATTTGAGCAAGTTTCAGAAACGGGCATGAATCGGAAGGAGTCCAGAGGAATCATCGGGAGATTGACTGGATGTTGGATGACTGTGGAATCTTGGGAATACCCAAAAGATGAAAATGATTCTGGTGATATGTGCAGGATCCATGAAGAATCCACAGGAACCCATATTTTTTTGAAGGATGTAAAAGAATCTGCAGAAGGTGGATTAATTTCGACAGTCCACAGGGATTCAAAGGAAGTGGGGAGAATCCAGCAGAGGGGGGGGGGCCAATGGCAATTTGCCAGTGGGGCCCAATTGTCAGATGCGCATTTGGGGGCCCGGGCGGGGGTCCCCCAATGCCGATTTGATTGTGTGACCCCTGTGTCAAATGGGCACTGGGGGGACGAGCGGGCCAGAATGGGGATCCCAAGTGTGCGATTGGACGGTTGGTCGCATGTTGTTTAAGCAATTAGGGGGACCAAGCCATAGCGGTGGGAAATGAGCCTCGATCCGCCCAATTGACACTGGGGGCGCTACTGTCAGGAGGGACATCGGAAAACCTGGCTCTCCATTTAACAGTGGGAAATCCATTATCGACCCAGCGTCAAATTCACAATCGGGGGTGGTTTCGTCGATTGCCACTTTGACAGTGGGCCACCGAGTATCAAATTATGTAACACCGATCGGGCGACCGCGAATGTTCAGCTTGGATTCCCCGGGGGGGAGATCTAGGGGAGGGAACATCTCACACACCTAGAGAGCCACAAGGGGTCGGCGGACTTCCGGAGGCATGGGGAATCGATGATTTGGCACATTCTTGGGCTTCCGGATGCCTCCGGAGGCCTCTGCCTCTGGAGGTTTCGCAGGGAGCTGGAGGAGGGAGGAACTTGCATCGCTTGAGCCGACTCCCCACTGGATTGGTGGAGCAGGGGGGAGAAGAGAGGGGGAACGGGGCAAGCTAGGTACGCATTTCTTACCATCGCGTAGATTTCTTCTCTATTCGCACAATTGTATGTTGAGCAGGGCAATGATCCCGATAGCATGGCATCGCTTCGAAAATGCGGTTACTTGGCCATGCGAACACTCTCGTAGGCCGCTCCCAGCCCCAACTATTTACCAGCGCAAAGGGAGCGGGACGGCGGGACAAGCGGCCAGCAGGAAACAAGAAATGACACAGGACGGGGGATGCAAATGGACGGTTTGGAAGCGACAAGTGCAACATGATATTAGCGCTTCAGCGGGAGCACGATTTCGAAGGACCAGAACCGGGGAACATAGACCAGCGCTGCAGTGGAAACACGAATTGGAAGGACTGGACGCGCGGAGACGAAGCCAACGCTGCAGCACGATTCGGAAGAATCGAAACAATGAAATGAGGTCAGACTACAGCGGGAGCGTGATTTGGGAGGGCTGAGAACGGGAAACTGGAGCCAAAGTTGTAGTGGGAGCGCCATTCTGAAAGAACTGCAAACGTTCGGATTGGAACTACACATATTGATTTTCAAGTCGGTGGCATCCTATGTGTAACGGACAATACGCGGAGGAGGCCAGGACACCTCACCGCCGTCTTTGGGGGGACGGGGAGAGTCGTATTCATATGGTGTAATTTGTGGAGGAGGGAGCGGAACGGTAGGAGGAGGGGAGGGAGGGAGGAGGGAGGGAGGGAGGCAGGGGATCGAGGGGGGAGCGAGAAGGGGGCGGCAGGGGGACGCGAGGAACACGACGGGGAGCATGACGAGGAACAGCTCGAGGACGATGACGAGCATGACGAGCAGGGGTCTGGTCACGGAGCCCATGGCGGCGCGCAGCTCCGCCAGATTTCGATGGAGTGATTGTTTGACTCCGCATGTTGCCCTCCTCTCCCCCCCGTGGTCGCCCTGCCCTTCCTTTTCCCTCCTCCTGCATGCTGGCCAATTCGCTTTGTAGTGCCCCTGCATCGCTGCCACGCTGGAGCGGATTGTCCCGCCTCGCTGCCGACGGGAAAAAAATGATTCCGCAGGTCCCAGCTGTCTTGACAGTTTCCTTGGAGGCAGTGCTCAACCCCAGGTCCACGTATGAGGATCCCAGGCCCTCAAACAAAAACCCCTCGTGGGCCGAAGCAGAGATGAAGCACGACTGGGATTTGGCATACCGAGACGCCCAGCGGCGCGTCGCGCAGGAGCAGGGGGAGGATACCGAGGCGGACTGGGACGACAACTTCAACTCGACTATCAAGCGGGCCAAGAGCATGTTCGGAAGCTTTCAGCCCTCCAGTTCGGAGGCCTGGGGGCGGCCTGTCGGGCGGCTTGTCGGCCTGGGTGCCCAGTTGCCCTCAGATCCTGGTGGTGTTCGGAACTGTTGCAGAGGTCCTAGGTCCTCAAGGCTCCTGGAGGTCGTCGGGTGCCAGATCCTGGAGGGTCTCGAGGTGCAGAGCTTCGCGCTTCTGGTGTTTCTAAGGTTTTCGATTCGAGGCCATCGAGCTCTGGAGTTCCTGAGGTTTTCGTGTTTCGTGGTGTTTTCCATCGGCTGCGACCCGTCGAGAGTTCTCCCGGGGGCCCAGAGTCGTGCCGGACGGCCGCCTGAGCCCGCAGTATGCATCGAAAGCAAACTTGAGGGAGGAGGATTTTAATTTTTTTTGAACTGGGCGCCGCTACCACTGACACTGCCACCGCCACCACCACCGCAATTTATGATCGTGTTGGCTGCTGCTGCTGCAGCTACTGCCACGGCCACGACTGCTGCTACGATGTTTGGACTGTTGCGAGTGCGCATGCCACTATTTTCATAACTACTACTACGACCTCTAGGGTCGAGCGTCACCTATTGTCTCTATTGAGAATGAATGATGAATGGTGAGGGTTCGGGTTCGGGTTCGACTTTCAAGTTCATGCGACCGACATACAATGCAATAGGATTACACTATGATTAGAGCTGTAAAGCAAGAGGAATCCAATGATCATGCGGTAGGGTCGTGCGGCGTTGGCGCGCCAACGACCCCAGCGGAGGCGTTCAAGGTTGAATTCTGCGACGCGGAAGCATCGATTGACACGGTAACGCCATTGGAACCGACGGAATTCAACTTTGAACGATCGGGGCCGCGATCGACTCAATTATCGAAGCGGTGTTGAATATGTTTGCGCGCGCCGATGCCGAGCGAACTTGCCGTACAACACAATAGGGATATCCTATGAATGCAGTAGGATTCCTCTTGACATTCAAAACAGTAGGAATCGTAGGACCACGCTCGGCATGCAGTACACTAGGGACACACTATAATACAATAGGGGTACACTACGAATCCAATTGGAACGCAGTCGGGATACTATATTCAATCGGATTGCAACATGAACATAGTCGGAATACATTACACGAGGAACACAATGGGAACACACTCGAATTCCAATCGACATCCAATAGGCGCGAGGGTGACGTGGGACACGTCCCGCTCTGCTTAATCTCCAGCTACAACCGCTGTACAGAAAGTCTACAATAATAATGCCAGCAGTTGACTTCTTGGTCCTACACGAGAGCGACTTTTGGCCCGCCTACTACTACGATTACGACTGCTACCACTACTACCACATTTACTATGGTTACTACTACTACTACTACGACGACTACCACTACTACCATGACTTCTTCTACTGCTACTACTCCTGCTACGACTACTACTACTACTGCTGCTACTACTGCTACTGCTACTGCTACTGCTACTGCTACTGCTACTGCTACTGCTACTACTCCTACTACTACTACTACTACTACTACTACTACTACTACTACTACTACTACGGCCACTACTGCTACTACTACTTCTACTACGGCTACTACTACTACTGCCACGACGACGGCGACTACTACTACTAGTTCTACTACTACTACTACTACTACTACTACTACTACCACGGCGGCGACGACGACGACGCCTTACTACTACTACTACTACCACTACTACTACTACTACTACTACTACTACTACTACTACTACTACTACTACTACTCCTATTCTACTACTACTACTACCCCTACTCTACTACACTACTACCTACTACTACTACTACTACTACTACTAACTACTACTACTACTACTACTACTACTGCTGCTGCTGCTACTACTACTACTACTACTCCTACTACTACGGCTACTCCTACTGCTACTACTACTACTACTGCTACTGTTACTGCTAGTGCTACTGCTACTACTACTACTACTACTACTACTACTACTACTACTACTACTACTACTACTACTACTACTACTACTACTACTACTACTACTACTACTACTACTACTACTGCTACTACTGCTACTACTGCTACTACTACTACTACTACTGCTACTACTACTACTACTACTACTACTACTACTACTACTACTACTACTACTACTACTACTTGCGGTCGCGTTCACCATACCATCACGGCTCGATCACATTTGGGCGAGCGTCCTGTGGCTGCCTCATCACCCTGCAATGAGACATGCGCCATGTGGGGTGCAAAGCAAGGCGGGGCGTGCACCGCGGACTGACGAAGTTGCAGTGTGGCAGCCGAGGTGCATCAATGCAGACCTGGCTCAAAACAACCACGGGACGTGCAGCGCGCGGGGCTACCCCAGTACCGCCCGACCCCAAAGTGGCCGCCAACGTGCATCAAGACAAACCTGGCCCAACACAGCGCAGGACGTGCAGCACGCGGGGCTACCCCAGCACCGCCCGACCCCTGAAGCTCTGGAGGCCTCATGTGGCAAGAGCCAGCAGCGAGAAACAGGATGGGGCAAGCCAGAATGCTGGCCACTTAGTTGAAGTACCGAGGGCAACACTGGCGCGATGCTAAAGGCCCGCGGCCCTCGGGGCGGCCCCAGCACCACAGAGTAGAGCGGGGGCACACAAGAGAGGCAACAGTAGAGCCTCAGCCAGGCACGGACTGTTACGCCATAGTGCTTGCTAAAGTTGGCGCGGCGCAGAGGTGGTGCACAGGGCCTGGGCAGGCATGCAGCAACTCGCTCATTCGGGCCTTGAGGCCTGGGGCTTCAGAGCCACTCGGTCTTGCCTGGGAGGACCTCGGACGGGAGCGCACGTGCCATCCCGCCCCGCTGACTGCCCTCCACCGCGGGCCCAAGAGGCTCAGACTCGATGTCTGGCGGTGGGCCCACATGCGGCGGCGGCGGCGCCTCCGCGTTTGTCAGCGCCGCAGGTGTGAGCGGCGGCGGCGGGCGTTCTTCCCCTGCAGCCTTCGTCCTCAGGTCCGTCTGCGGCCCTCCAGCGGAGGGGGCACTCGGGGCTGCCCCTGCGCCCCCCCCCGCCAGCAGGGCTGCCGACGGCCAGCTTGCGACGCTGCTCATAGTTCAACGCAGCGGTCCTAGCCTCGACGATCTTCTCACGCTTCTTCCTGTTCCTGGTCTTCTTGCAGTAGCCCGCCCGTGCAGGGCCATTGAGTCCCGATGCAATCTGCGCATCGAGGTCGCACCAGTTGAAGCCGGACAGGTCTTCCCACGTGAGGTTGTCCATCAGCGCGTGCTGCCCTTCCCGCTGCTTTCCCCCAGGCGCGTGCTGCTTGAGCGCCGTGCCAGGCGCCAGGGGCTCCACCTTGGGCAGATGCTGCAGAAGGCCCGTGGGGCTGAGCACCGCGATGTTCTTCTTCTTTGCTTCTCCGCCCGCGCGGGGGTCTCCAGGTCTCTGATGTCTTCCTCGGGGAGGTCGGCCTGCAAGTGCCGCGCCTTCGGTGGCTGGGCTGTATGGTCGATCATCTCGATGCGCACGCCGTAGGTCGCCAGGTATCGGGCCCCGCAATGGCAGTGCCATCGCTGGCCACAGCGGCCTGCCGCCTCTTCCTCCAGGGTGAGGAGCTGTGTCCAGCGGTCCGCGCGGATGACGGCCCTGCAGCCGCGGGGGTTATCCTATGTCTTGCTTGCCTGGTATTCATCGTGAACAGGTCGTCCGAGAAGAAGTGGTCGGAGTGGTCGGCCATTCTTGCCGTATTCTCCTTGCGCAGCGGCATCGCCGCCCGCCTCCTTGAAGGCCCGCTGGTTGCCCGGGTGCGCGGCCGCGCGTTCTCGTGCCTCTAGCAGGCCTTTCTTGCCCTCCTCGGCCGTGCACGCAGCGTCCCGCGTTTCGATGTCAGCTCTCACCGCGCGGCGCCCCTCTGCAGCTGCGCCCAGGCTCTCGAGCCAGGTCGCCATGCCCTTCGCGCGGCCGCGCGGATCATGTCGCCCTTCTTCTCGAGGATGGCCCCGAGGGCGCCCTTCGTGTGCGTCCGCAGGGTCTCGTGCCGCACTGCGCCGTAGCACCTCGCCATGCGCTTGAGCGTCTTCTGGGGGTGGCCCATCCTGAGGAGGGATTGGGCGTCGGCGACGTCCCCCGCCAGCTTCTCGTCGCGGACGTTGGGCTCCTCTGACGCGAGTTCGTGGTCCGCCGAGGCTTCGGAGCGCGGCGTCGCCTTCGTCTCCCAGTCGGCCGCGTCGCCCTCGGCGGACAGCGGGGGCGCGCGGGGCTGCCCCGAAACCTCCGCCGCCGCCATCGGGCGCCCGACCTCCTTTGCAACCGTCTCCGTGGTGGTGCCCCCTTGCTGGACGGGCCAATGGCCGCGCCCGCGCCCGCCGTGGCGCGCCGCGGGGCCAACTCTCCATCCTCCGAGAGGGCGTTGCCCACCAGCGCATCCAGGCTGTCCTTGAGCACGTTGAAGGACTCCTGGAACTTGGCCACGCTGTCGCGCGAGTGCTGGATTGAGCCAGCACCCTCGTTGTGCCTCGCCGCCTTCGCGACCGCCTCGCGCTCGTCGATGTCTTCGTGCTTGGCCGCGCACTTGGGGCAGGTGTAAACTTTCAGGCCCCCTCCTCGCCCTTCCGCAGCGCGGGGTACCTGGGGTTCGCGCCCCGCGCTTGCCCGTCGCGGGCCATGTCGGCCGTCGGCAGATCTTCGACCCATTCTATCTCCATGACCTTCCAGTCGTCGAGGGCCGAGCAGAGACGACGCCAGCCCGGCCGCCGCGGTCGTGCCCAGTAGGCTCCCATGCAGAATTCCCAGCCCAGGGGCTCGCAGTCCTCCTGAGCGAGCTCCTTCGTGCTCACGAGGGTGTCGGCGTCTCCCTCCGACTTCGGCTGTATTTGGCCGTGCGCCGTTCCGTTGCTTCGACGGCGGTTCCGTTTGGAACCCCGCCCTGACGCTCCCGTAGTGGCCGCGC